GGGCTAAATACTGGGTTTTTGGGACTCATTATCTCATTGAAAAGTGCTAGGCTTATATGAAGAGTTAGTAAAAAATAAAAAAAAATATTGTGTATTTTCCTGTGTACAAGATAAGCCGTTCCAAAACTCCCGAACAAAATATTGTATCTCCCGAAGGTAGACTGAAATTTTGGAGGAGAAATCATTGCAAGAGATTCGGAGTGAACACGACTACGTAATGATTTCAATTGTTATTAGTGAGTGTTGACTCCAAATTATAGCGTATATTGCACGTTTCGTCGTGCGAAAACTGCAATCAACCATAAAATGTGTCGACTGTATTGGTGCCGTATCTCGAGACAAAATAAATTTTCTAAATTCTTTAATTACAAAAAAAAGTCATGGGGGGCTGGTATACCCATCCAAAGATGTGGTATTTATATGCAAATCAGCAGAACATTTTTTGAGGGTAAATGAACAGAATTTGGGTACAACAAATTTTGTAATGAATTTGAAAAATAAAATAATGCTTAACTGCATACATTTTGAGCAATATTTTTCATGCTTAAATGAGCATGTTTTAAAAATGCCATCAAACCATGTTTATTTTTTATTTGAAGCAATAGTTGAAAAGTATTTGAAAATACGATTTCATTTTATTGCCAAGAAACAGAGCGAGTTTGATATAATATTCGCAATAAATTAACAAAATTGATATTATTTTCTGGACAATAATAAACCCTTATTTTAAGATTTTGTCCATTTAATTTGTAAATATAATATATGTACTCTTTTAGTTATAAATAAATATAAAGTTACTTGTATATTTAGAGATTTTATTTATTAGAACCTACCATCCTTTTTGCCAGTTTTTTGATAACCTTCTCACTACTATTAAATACAATATTTTATTTTCGATCATGAAAATTTTTCCTTTTGTACTTTTGCCAAAATTTGAATAAGTCTTTTAATTCATTCTTATCTACTCGTAATACCAACAAACATAACCAGTAAAAGTGAAAAAATAGCGTATTTAAAAAAAATATCAAGCGTATTTTTGTATATTTCACGCTGTCTAAGCTTTTCGTAAGAAACGCCACTGGCAACGCAATTTAGATCTCAGGCGGCTTCACTTGCACTCCGATGCGCTATCTCGTGTAGTCACGAAGTGGGGGCCGGTTCCATACTCTAAGGCTATAACGAAAAAATCAAACTACCCCTTACCAGAAATTGATGACATATTGACATACTTTGGAGATGCACAATATTCCAACACTTTGGACATGTTTTCAGGATACTGGCAAGTACCAGTAGAGGAGCATTCAAAGCAATACACCGCATTTCCAGCACAAGGACATGGTTTATATGAGTTCAACGTCTTAAGTTTTGGGCTTTGCAACGCTCCTGCAACTTTTCAAGAACCGGCGGGCAGAATATTCTGGGACATGAAGTGGAAAGAGGTGTTCCTTGACGATATTTTTATATTTTCGAACACTCTAGAAAGCCACCTGAAGAAGTTAGGAAGAGTTTTCCAAAGACTTCGTGAAGCAAATTTAACCTTGGAATCGAGTAAATGCAAATACTTACAAGAGGAAGTTAAAATTTTGGGATTTACTGTAAGCAGCAGGGGGATCAAGCCAGACGAGGACAAAATAAAATGCATAAAAGACTTTCCACGCCCTAAGAAGGTCAAGGACGTGTAAAGCTTTCTAGGGCTTGGCAGTTTTTATAGGAAATTTATCAAGGACTTGTCAATAATCGCGAAACCAGCAGAAGCATTTACCAACCTAAAGCAAAAATTAATATCGGCACCAACTCTACAACATTTCAATCTAAACATAGGGTGCACACTACACACCGACGCATCTATTACCGGTATTGGGGCCATTTTACTACAAGAAAATGACGAAGGCAGCGCTCACCCAGTGACGTACGTAAGCCGGAGCCTCTCAAAAGCAGAACAGAATTATTCGATAAGCGCGCTGGAGCTATTAGCAGATCATAAAATAATTTCGACTCATTTTAATCTGTCCTTTGGATATCCAAGGAGCGATACATATAGCACGTGCGACGCCAATTTAAATACTGAGGAGCACGAGTCTCCATACAAATTTGCATTTGAGAAACCATGCTTGTGTTACAGAAAATGTTTGCTATGTCACAATGAACTTGCAGCAAACGCAACCTCTGCCCAAATAACATCTAAATCCTTCTACCTCCGCCAGCAGTGGTTCTACAATTTGGGTATTAACTCTGTGACAAAATCTTGAGAAAAACTTATTTTTTTACTTGGATAGAGGATATTGCAGGTAAAGGGAGTTTAGAAGTTGGTAGCTCTTTTTACACCACGAACATCTAATCTAGATAAAAAATAGATCATTTAATAGTGTGGTCGGATTCATGCTCCGGGCAAAACAAAAATGATAATATAATTGCCCTTCACCGGTACCTTGTTTTCAAGGGTATGTTTAAAGTTGCCGATCACAGATTTCCCGAAGTTGGTCATTCATTTCTGAATTAGGATCGAGATTTCGGAAGGATCGAGATTTCTAAAGCATCGAGAAAAATTCACGCAAAAGGAAAAAAATCCTTATTTTCGACCAATATCGTGAAATTATAAAGTCGTGCAGTATTAAATCTGCTGTGTAAGAAACATGGAAAACCACTTCAAATGTTTGGAGCAAATTATACCATCATCACCCTTGGTTAACAAGAAAAAAAAACCTTTCGAATTAAAAGGTTAATTTCCGAGATCACGTAAAATGGGTACGGGTAGACTCGTACGATTAGTACGAAAGCTACTTTTATAAAGTCTCGACGAATGTACTCCATTTCAGAAAGTAAACATCCTGAGAAATGGTGCCAAAAAGGCTGATTCTGATTTCCCTGCCTTATATTGATTACGACTTTGGATATTTCTATGAAATATTTCTCGAAAGGGACGAAGAGGTAGATGAAACCGACAAAGCGAGTGAAAAGAGAAATGGAAAAAACATTGTTGCAAATTAATAAAATTTTATAATAATGGACATCTTTCATCTTTCAAGTACCCAAGAAAATAATTTTTGTAAAAAGTAATTATTATTATTTTTTAAAGTTACCACGATCAGATGTAATGATAAAATGTGGACAAGTAAGATTTTTTTTTGTATAATTGTCCTAGAAAAACTGCAAAATGAAAAACTTTGAAATCAAATATCTCAAAAGTCAGTTTTCGGTACATAGGCCCTTCAGCAACTTATGCCTTCATTTATGAAGTGGCCTCATTTGCTAACAAGGCTTTTCTTCATGCATTTTCACCGGCAAACAGAAATTTTTGGCAACCGAAATACACCCATTCAACAGAAATATCATCTTCTCTGACGACGATTTCTTGTCTTCATATGTGTCAGATTAACGACAATTATTACCGAGCTTGACAATGTGTATCTGAATACCGCGAGGGAATCAAACCAAACTGCAATGAGCCAAAATTCCCTGACCAAATTGCTAAAAAAGAAGAATTTCTCACTCTATAAGCCAAAGAAAGATGAATGTGAAAGAGGAGTTGAAGAACAAGAAGGTTTTCTTATATTGTTCAAATGAAAATAACACTGGGTTCAACACAGTTCAATATGATCAAACATATAAATATAAAAAAATAAGATCCCTAAAACAATCACAGAATGAAATATGCATTAACGTCGAGCAGAATTACTTATATAACCATACGAATATACAATTACCACAGGAAGTACAAACAGTTCTCAGTTTGGGACCAAAGTTTGGCCTCCCCCTGACAAGTAAGAAGATACCAATACTAACCCTAATCAAGGACCTGGAATATTGTATAGGATCCCAAGCAATTGCAAATGAAGACAAGGACAGCTTAAGAGGCCAATCAACAAACATAATCACTAACTTCTATCAAAATGACAAACCAACAACACAACAAGGTCTAATCGATAATGCAAAGAAACGAAAAAGTTTCTGAATGAAAACCAGCATATCATAGTTAGTAGATCTGACAAAGGAAACTCCACTGTTTCAATGGATAGGAATGAATACCATCAGAAGGTATTGGAAATGTTGGACGACACAATCATTTATGCATCTGCGAACCGTGACCCAACGAACAAGTACCAAACAATGGCCAACAACATAGGGTGAGTTCGGCTTGACAACGCTTTTAGCTCCTTTGACGCTTTTCACTCCAAAACCGTTCGGGTCAAGCCACTGGAGCAAATAGTGCTAGCACTTTCTCGTTCAGGTCCAGCCAGAGTGGAGTGAATAGAGTTAACTCTTCAAGCACCACCTCCACAGATGATACTCGCGGAGCGGGCATGCGCACTTTGTAAATTAAAAAAGCGGCAAACCAAAAATGTCACTTTTTCAAATCCGGCGTCCTATTCCTAACCTAGAAATTTTTAATTTTGTGTTGGTTTTGATTTTGAGCTATGATTTTGAGTTAGTTATGAGAAGTGATTAGCTAAAATGACCCAAATATCGGCGAAAACGCATGTTCCGGTGCACGATGAGAATGGAGAAAATTTGGTGGTGTATAACAATCAAATGCTCCTATAAGAAAAAAGTAGTAAGTATTTTCGGTCAAGGCTAGAGTCGTGAGCGTTTCCAATTAGAATTATTACACTAAGGGGGAATAACATTAAAAAATCATGTATTTTCTTGAAAAATCGATGCTTTTTGATAGAAAATCAATGCTTTTCAGTATTAATGGTTTAAGAAATTATTTCCTGGGTAAAAATATTGATTTTCAATGAAAAAACATTGATTTGCCACTAAATTTTCAGGTTGATTTCGGGGTTGATTTTCTTTGTTTAATTTTTAAATGTGAAGTAGGTATGAACTGTAAGGCATGGGGTATAATTTGTTTTAAGTCATAAGTAAGTATTTATAAAACATGCATCAGCCAATTTTTGTTTATAATAAATATGTAAGTGGGACAAAAGCTCGGACAAAAGTCTATCTAAGTATGTAGTATGTCCTAGTACATAATATTTACATATTATTTTTATTTTCAGGTGGCAATTTAATCTACGTCCCTTTCAACAAAAACATGTGCAAATTATTTGGCATGATACTTCAGGACGAAGATGGAAATAATAATGACCAAGATGCTGCCACAGACACAACAAAGAAAAAGGAAGTCAATTTGAATGAAATGGATGCTGAAGTAGAGCAAGACACTTCTGATATTGGAGAATTCCCAGAAAGATCTAATGCTGAAGAAACGACAGAATAAATTATTTGATTGAAGTGATTGAAGAATACAGTAACAGATTAGATACAGATGTGAAAAAATATGTGTGGGAACAATAGCCAAGAAATGTGGAGAAGAATTTGGAAAAACAATCACTTTTAGACAAGTAGAATCAAAATGGAAAAGTTTAAAACGAACCTATAAAAGTGTTTTATTACATAACAACACATCAGGCAAACAAAAAAGATATTGGGAATTCTTTAACAAAGTCCATAGGTTCATGCACAAAAGACCTGAAATAATCCCAACTGCAACTTGCAGCAATAGCAAGGGTCTACAAATTAAAGATAAAAATGGCATCAACAATGATGTTAGTGCAATAAGTACTGATGAAAATGAAGCTGGCCCAAGCACTTCTTGCAGCGGGCAGGAGGGGCTATGCCTAAAAAAACCGATAGTTCCTTTTCTAGGAAAAGAAGAAATCGAGAGAGTGAGGTGGCCAAGAGGCACAGAGAAAAAATGTCAAAATTAGATCGGTTTAATGACCTTTTCGAAAAAATTATTGAAAAAATGTAAAAATGTGAAAATCATGTGCCTAGATATTGTTTTAGAGCAAAAAAGATGTTTATTTTTGTTAGGAGTCCGGGTGTCTGGTGTCTTAAAGATATTTCCACAGTAAGACTCGATTGTGTTGTCTTTGGGTCAAAATAAAGTGATTTAGGCCAACTTGGTCCTTGGTCAAAAATGCATCATTTTGGAGGTAGATCCCCAGGAGATGAATTTTCCTCTATATTTCCTGAAAGTTTCGGAAACATTGAGGAAAATCTATCTAGAGGGCCTTTGAGGGGCTATAGCTCCAACACGATGTATTGTTGGACTAAGGTAAGTTGGCCTAAATCACTTTATTTTGACCCAGAGAAAAACCAGCCTTACTGTGTAAAAATATCACGAAGTATATTATGTATAGGCTAGTTAGGGGACTAGTTTTATTCCCAATTTGATTTGATTTTTGTTTATAGACCGTGAGATAGGGTACCATTGAGGGAGTCATTTTTTTTTTTCTGGCATTTTGAGGGTTGAATGTAGTTCGTTAGTTGATGAAATTTTTTCGAATTTACTTGAAACTTTTTGTTTTTTCATGATCTCAAATTGTCTGGCATTTGAACAGAAGATTGACATTTGATAAATAATTCACCAATAAAAAATGCCAGACGGTTTTCACTGATCGAAAAAGTTGGGGATGGTCAACTTGCAAAAACAAAGTACAACTTTCCACATTTATTTTCTTTCTGGGAATCGAGAGAATGAAAGGTTTTGTCTTGAAAATACCGCTGAAAAACTGCCTGACGGTAGGTAATAACATTTCAAAATCGAGTTTCTCGCGGAAATGTCAAGGTTTTTCGAAATCCCCACATAATTTTTCACAGGAAACTCGATTTCGCATTGCAATTACTGTCTGGCAATTTTCCAGCGTTATTTTCAAGACAATATCTTTCAATTCTCTCGATTGCCAGACAGAAAGAAAATGTGGAAAGTTGTACTTTTTTCTTGCAAGTTGACCACCCTCCGCCACTTTTTCGATCATTGAAAACCGTATGGAATTTTTTATTGCTGAATTATTCATTAATGTCAATTTTCTATTCAAATGTCAGACAATCACCTGATCATAAAAAAACAAAAAGATTTTCCAAATGTTCGAACAGAAGGCGGGCATTAAAACCAACCACATTCAACCCTCAAAATTCACGGTCCATTAGTTGCCCTTGTACGTAAAATTGTGAAATTATATGACATTAAAAAGAAACTACACATTTTTGTTTTATTCGTTATATATATTTCTTATCTAGATAATGAGATAATTTATTATTTTGTAAGACACTATACCTTTTTCAATTGTAATTCAGAAAATCACACATGTATTTCAGAAAATCTCAATTGTAATTCAGATTTTTCAAATGCTGAAATACATTGGAAAAATCTGAATTACAATTGAGATTTTCTGAAATACATGTGTGATTTTCTGAATTACAATTGAAAAAGGTAGTAGGAATACCAGCACACATTATTCTGGACTTATCTAAAAAAAAATTTAAAATCTATTCTGTAATATTGGAAGGGCATTACAAATATTATTTCGTTTTACTAAACCAATTCTATTGTCTTCATCTGGATCAAAATCTTGAAAGTTTTGTGGGTTATTCATTCGTTCTTGCTCAATTTCCTCCGCTAAATTAGCAACTTCTTCTGGTAAATCTCCATTTAATATGCATAGGTTATGCAGCACACAAGCAGTTATAATTAAAAGGACAGCTAAATCCAATCTTTTGGTTTCCAGGAGTTTCAGTCTCCTAAATCTGCCTTTTAAGTGAGCAAAAGCTATTTCAATATTAACACGGGATTTACTCAGTATTGTGTTAAAATTTCTCTGTCGTGGTGTAAGACGACCATTATTCTTAAAGCCTGATAATAAAAATGTAGAAACTCTATAGGCAAGATCTCCAACCATATGACTATCATCATGAAATTGAACCTCTCCATTTAAAATTCTTTGATGCAAGTCGGAACGTTTAAATAATGTATAGTCATGAATAGATCATGCCTCTCCAGCATAAACATCAGTGAATAACTTTCTATCATCGCAAGCTCCTTGTAACAACAAGAAATGGTAACTTTTTCGATTGACATATGAATTCGCATATTCTCGAGGTGCATTTATGGCTACCATCGATGCAACCAATTATTCCTAAAAGATATACGTAAATGTAGAGTGAGTATACAAGATTCAAATCAATACTTGCCTGGGAAGCCATGTCTCGCAAAATTGTTGCTAATTTCTTGCTGCTTTTCTCTACTAGGCCAACAGATGACTTTATAGGCCCTGTTAACTTTCAAAATCAATACACACGTACGATATAGAATATCCCAACAAGTAGATTTTGTGACCCCTAACCTCTCACTAATAGATCTAAAAAAATATAGGTAATGTCTATTTGGATAATCTCACCTGGCTCTTGTCTGACTTACCGTAAACTCTCCATATTTGCCAGATACCAGATGGCAATCATGAGTTCCTTATCAGAGGTAGTTTTAGGAAACCCTACATGAGCCACATCAGTTAAAGGCACTGGCAGTTGATTGCATTTTCCTAGCAAGTCTTCGAAACAAGTTTTAGAGATTCTGAAATTATGCTGAAACTGCTTATCACACATCAATGGAACTGTAAGTTCGGCATAGTTTTCAACCTTTTCACAAATGTCCTCATCTTCAGATGAACTATCCAAGAACAAAAAAGAATTTGCAAAATTAACGACCACAAGTTTAGGATCCATTATTTGTTTTTGGAATATTCTTGTTGTTTTTATTTATTTTTCTTTTAGGTTATTTAATTTGTACGCTCCCGTTGCTCCGGCGCGTTCGGCTTCAACCATTTTTATCTTTTAACTCCGTGATCACGTGGCCATGATCTCTTTATCCGCTCCAACTCCGTTATGCCAAGCCGAACTTACCCATAGTAACCGAATTGAGAGCTAATGACCTGATATCAAACAGGAGAAGAGAGGATGCTGATACGACACAACTCAGTCCCCCACAAGCTATACTGCTTGCGGAAAACACACAAACCATGTCTACATTTAAGACCGGTGGTCAGCTGTATCGGTTCACCAGGATACAACCTAGCTAAGTATTGACTTAACATTCTCAGCCCTCTGACAACTACATTTCATTTCAATTAGGCAATTCAAACCACGTGACAGTCAAGATGGCGTGGCGGCCACACATGGGCCAAAAAACACAAAAAAATATCTAGTTTCTGCCCGATTTAATAGTTTAGGTAGCTAGTCAACAAATATCGTATTAAATAATCAAAATCAAGGTTACAAGCAAAACTCTAAGCAAAATAATTTAAAATACACATAAAAACATATTCAAAACAAGCTTGCTTGGCCGCCACGCCATATTAAATTTTCCTTTTTGACAGATGGATTAAATTGCCTAATATCACTGACTCGTTCCATTTTGCCCAATTAATAAAACAACACACGATCCCGAATGGATATGTGTTGGTATCTTTAGATGTTGTGAGTCTGTTCACCAACATAAAAAAATTGCTAGTTTATCTCCAATTATACAGACATTATTTCTCATACGATCAAACCATCTACTTGCATAAAGACGGGTCCGCAATGGGAAACCCAGCATCACCAATCTTGGCTAACCTAGTAATGAATAATCTCATAACTGAGGTATTAAAAAACTACCATTTAATATTCCATTCATATACGTATATGTTGATAACACAGTGTTATCTGCCACCAGACAAGAGCTTTACTTATTGTTGGAGACCTTCAAGAATTTCCACCCTTCTCTCCAGTTCACCATGGAGGTATAAGCAGATAATAAAATTAGCTTTCTTGACATGGAGATCTATCATAAGCCCAATGGTACCTTGTCCACAAATTGGTACTCCAAACCCTCTGGTTCAGGAAGATTGCTGAATTACTGTTCGAACAATCCAACATCGAACAAAGTAGGCATAATAAGCGGACTGTTGCATAGAGCTTCCAATCTAAGTGACCCTGTATTTCGCAATGCCAATCTTGAAAAAATTAAAAAGTTTTTATTAAATAACACCTACCCACTCAACTTTATCAACAGAAATATAAGTAGATTCAAAAATAAATAATAAAAACCCCCAATAACAAAGAAAGAAACCAAATATTTCAAGTTCCCTTTCATAGAAGGCCTCTCCTAAAAAATTGAAAGATGTTTCAAAAGGTCGGATGTTTCATTGGCTTTCTACAACCTTCAAACCACTTACTCTCTGTTCACAACACTCTAAGACAAAATACCACAAAATAAACAAAGTTCAGTAGTGTACAAAATCCCATGTGAATGTTACAAATGTTACATAGGAGAAACTATGCAGTAGGTACCTAGGCAAAAGAATGCAGCAGCACAAAAAATATTGTCGCAATCACAATAAAACGGCATTGGCCAAACATCATTTTGAAACTGGACACAATTTCAAGTTCGGTGAGGTGGAAATTGTTGATTTTGAGTCACAGCATTACAAACGTAAGCTAAGTGAAATGATTCAGATAAATCTAAACAATACAGTTAATATCAAGACTGACTCAGATGGGTTGAGTAGTTTCTATAGCAATATCCTTGATATCTATGATAGAGGGAGAAAAAAAGTCCGGCCAGGAGCAACCAAATGAGAATCGTGTCGTTTGGTTGCTCTTGGTCGGACCACTCATACTTTCTGTGATAATGTGTTTGGATATGGTTTGGAGTCGGTTCTGGGTTGAGCTACGCTCGTGCGGTTGTTTACATTAAACATAAAAAGACAGGCGCACGGGCGTGGATCGATTCAGAGCTGATTCTTAGCTGAGTCCGAATAAACCTTATGGTAATAATGTTCGATGAGAGTAGGGTGCATCAGGATGTAATTGAGTGTTGTTTGTGTTGCTTTCAGTTTGTAAAAACCATGTAATGTTCTATTTCTCATATGTTATTTATTTGTAAGTCCTCGGGGGACTTACGGTTGAGAAGGGAGAGCACACCACACTGGGTCCCAAATAAATGTCCAAATGGGATCACCCAAAAGAAAACGCTAGATTACCAAAAGGGAACCGTGGTCGCTGTAATGTTTAAATAGTTTGATTTGTTTATATTGTTTATTTACATTTAGTTTATAGGTTAGGTTTGCAATGTTGCTTCTGTTTTGATTTGTATTTGCTCTTCTTTTTATTCTTTGTTTTCGCATTTGTCATATGTTGCCATTGCTAACTTAATACTGTTGTCAAAGAGCTTGTGCTGTCATGCTTGTGATTGCTCGCTCTCTCTCTCACCGGCCCTTGACCAAGTAAGTTAACCAAATAAATGTTCAAAATAAAAATGCAAACGAAGTCCTTATCTCACAATCCTTTATTTTTTGATGCTACCGGTTTCGGGGTCTAAAATTTACACCCCATCTTCAGGCAAAAGAAGGATACAAATCACAAGTACATAAAAAGTGTTTCAGTTGAAAAAAACACAGTCATAGGAATCATATTAATATTTGTCACAAAAAATTAATTAAGCCTAGCACAGGTTGTGAGTCACATGTTTTTCAACATAGGTAGCTATGCAAATGACTGAAGCATCAGAAACAGAAATTGTAGAGAATCCAAAAAGAGAAAATTGATTATCACCTTCAATCCCTTGAGAATGAAATGGGCGTTATTTTCTTGATTTATCTGAACAAAAAGCTGCAGTAGTAAGGTACCCGTTCCAAGCCTCGTTAGATGTTGCCGACGTTCCTGATGCTGCTCGATACATTTTTAGAGCTCAGGAATGATTCCACAGCATCTGCCTATTTCAGGAAAAATTCTTGACTGAAATTTGGTGTGCGATGCATAGTTCATATTCTTATATCGCCCTGCATGTGCTTCCTTTTCGGATATTAATACCATTTGCCTCTACCTACCTTCGTGAAATTGGTTTTTCAACTCTCTTGCAAATTAGAACAAAGGCCAGAAATAGATTGGGCGTTTAAGATGACATAAAATTGGCTTTACCAAAACTCAACCAAGAATTTCAAAACTTGTTACCGTGATGCAAGCTCAGTCATCACATTAACAAAATAAAAATTGACTTTTTGTATTTAGTTACGAAACATTAATATTTTTGTTAAAGATTTCTCGAATAAATGAAATTTAGTTTTTTATTTATTAATGGGTAGGGGGGTCGCAACCTTATGAGCAAATCTGTAAAAGGGTCGTGAGTAAAAAAAGGTTGGGAACCACTGATAGTAACTATCGCAAGCAAAAGCATATGAACTAACAGAAACACAGATTCAACAAATGGAGATGCCCACTACTGAAGTCGTTTCAAAAATATCCAAACATAGTACACAGAGATTTAACACCAACAATCAGAATAGGCCTAACAACTCATATAACAGACAAAACAACACAACAAACAAAAATTGTAAAAATTTTGGCAACAACTAACATACAAATGGTCGACAGTCTTGTCCTGCGACAAATATTTTATGTCACTTTTGTGGAAAACAGGGTCACTTCCAGAAATTCTGCATGAAACAAAGAAAACAAACAGCATCATCACAACAATACTATGGCTTAAACACACAAGAACACAGCCGACATCTAACAACAGTCACTGAAGCAGAAGACAATCTGACGAACAATCTTTTCAGCTAATCACAGTTAACAACCTCACAGAGACACCCACGACAACAGTTCTAGACAATAACTCAGTCAACGTACTGTTCCTAATAGATACAGGAAGTTTTGTCAATCTCATCAGCGAAGAAACATTAAAAACGATTTATAACATTGTTTTAACAGAAAGCAAAAGCAACATCTTTCCTTATGCTTCTTAAAACAAATTAGAGATTATTGGGAAATTTCTGGCAACATTAACACAGCATGGTCAAGGTGCAAGGACAGAAATACACGTCGTAAAGGGGCAAGGTCGATCTCTTCTAAGTTACGAAACATCTAGTAGTAGGATAAACGTAGCTGCATAACATACGTGGAGATGCAACAAATTGGCAACAAGCTGATTTCAGCGGAAATGTTTAGTAACTGACCTCCTATTTAACCTCCCAAAAGTCCCAATCAGTCCTAGGGGTGGAAGGTTGAAAAAAATGGCCGCCATCTTGGATTTTTTTGTTTTTTCCAAATATCTCAGTTTCTATTAGTTTTTTCGAGAAAACTCAAGAAACCTTTTTTGTTGAGAATTTAATTCTCTATAAAAAGTGTCTCTGCGTTTTTTTTTTAACATGAAGGATAACGGAGATATAGTTTTTTTTTAGAATCTGATTTATAAATTTTTCACTTTTAGCGCCTTTTTGATAAAATGTGAAGTAAGTGCAGCTATTTAACAAATCATCCCATTATTAATGATTAAATTATATCCTAAACTCGATTTCGTGACAACCAAAAATGCCCATGACACACAACCGCGTATTTTACCGAGCATTCACCTACAGGATAAATATGGATCAGGTGGAATCACCGCCACGCGACAAGTGGCGTTTCCAACGGCCAGCGGGTGAATTATAACACATTGTTTTCTGATTTTCGTGCAATCAGAGCAGTTGATTCTTGTTAGTATGTTGCATATAATTAATTTTAATTGAATATTCTTTTAATGCGTAACAGGCTGGATTTACTAAGGTTTTAGACGTTGTGAGACAGTGGGTCGATTCCGAACTGTAAAGTGTATATTATATTATAGTAAAAGCGGACATGACTTCGTTAAAAAACAATATGCTATGTGGTATTTGTGAGAAAGACAATAATGAAAAGACAGTGCAGGTGACTTTGAAAGGATTGCCCAGTTTAGTGAAAGCAAGTAAAATTCGCGGGGATGGTAAGTGGGAAGATTTTAGTGAAAATTTGCCGGTCGTACATGCAGCATGTAGACGGAAATACACGCATCCAACCGAACTTTCCCAGTTTAGTAGAGAAGTTCCTGGTTCGTGTTGAAGTGTCACAACCGCCAAAAATAAAAAGTACACTGCGATCAAAAACTGAGAATGTTTTTAATTTCAAGACATATTGTTTTTTTGTGCCGAGAACATTGATATAAACCTTCTGAGCAAAAAAACAAAATTCAAACAATCCGCTCAGTTGCTACACTACATATTAAAGACACAATTCTGAATGCTGCAAGAAAGAAATGATGAGTGGAGTAGAGAGGTGCATAGAAGAATATGCAATGAAGGGGATCTTGTAGCAGCTGAGGCAAAATATCATGTCAATTGTTACAGCCTTTTTCTAAAGGGAAAAAGCCTTGGAAAAAGCAACACACAAGCAGGAAGACCTATAAATGATATTTTTGAGAACGCTTTCACGATGTTATGTCAATATCTTGAAAATGACACTGAAAATTGCCAATTTTCCCTGAAAGAATTACTTGATAAAATGAAGACTTATTTACCTCCCGACACTGAGCCATGGTCAGTTTATTTTTTCAAAATAGATTGAAAAAAAAATATCATGAGAAAATATTAGCTACGGACATTCCTGGAAAACCTTCAGTGATATGTTTATAAGAATAATTGTGAAAAACTTGTTTCCGATGAGTGGTTAAAACAAAGGGATAGTAGAAACAATACACCTGAAGAAGAACGTGTTTCCATTCTAAAGGCAGCCGCCCAAATATTAAAAGAGGACATTAGGGGAATAGTTACTAATTTGGATGAGTATCCTTCTTGCGATGATATCAAAACAGGTGGAAATTCATTTTTTCCTAATTCACTTGACGTTTTCTTTGAGGAGTTGGTCCTAAAAGGCAGGAAAAGCCCACTATATCAGACTAAAGTGTCTGCAATGAAAAACTTTATTATCTCTTTGGTACGTGTTCAATCCTTCCTTTCACCAGTGATGTTTGGTCTGGGAATTCAACTGCACCGCAAATATGCCTCAAGATATTTGATTGATACACTTGCAGCTCTTGGTGTTTCCGTGTCATATTCGGAATGTTTGGCATTTGAAAACTCAGCGATCATTAATCATAAAGACTCTATATTTGAAGAAAGTTTTGTACAGTTTGTATATGATAACGCAGACTTTGACATTCGTACCATGGATGGACATGGGACATTCCATTCTATGGGAGGAATAATGTGTTGTTCGCCTTCTACCGGCTCTAATATTCAAAGTATTCCTAGGCCAAAAAATCGGGTTCTTGCGTCAAATGTTGGAGAATTTGGGAGTCTACGTTTACAGGTAAGATCTTAAAAAATATTTAAATTATACAAGGTAAAACTTTGTTAAATCATCAATCTTTTTCTTTGCAGTTCTACAAAACACCTGCCAAAAGCGGACTTGGTCATATTAAAATGGAATCCATTCAAGAGGAACCAAATGCTGAAAATGAACGTTTACCGGTACTTCTAGACACTCTGTGGCTAACTGGTAAGGTTTTGTCTTTTTCCTCAATTTCCTGGACTGGTTTTATGTCTACTCTTGAGTCTGACTCCTTGAACGTGGATACAAGTATTATACCGTTACCCTTTATCAACTTGGATCCTGGCAACTTGAACACAATTTATACAGCTCTTTCATTTGCGGCCGAAAAAAGCAAACGGTATGAAAAATCTTGTATCGTAACGTTTGACCAACCACTTTTTCAAAAAGCTGTAGATATCGTAGAAGGCTCAAATAAAAGTGATATTGTGTCTTCTGTGATTGTCAGGCTCGGAGGTTTCCACACTCTGATGTCTTTTATGGGAAGCGTTGGAAAAATCATGGCCGGAAGTGGCATAGAAGAATTGTTGACAACCGTATATGCAAAAATTACTGTACCCCATATGATGAGTGGCCATGCTTATTCTAGAGCTTTACGAGGACATTTTCTAATACATGAAGCTTTAATTTTAATTATGTTGGATGACCCAGAAATATTATCCGAGGAAGACATTCAAAATATTCATAGTTTGTATAATGATACCAAACTCAATGTTATCAAAGAAAATGGATTACTTATTGAAGTTCAAGAAAAAGTCTATGGACGAATTGATGATTTAGCTAACACTAGCAGAACTGGAAAGTTGTGGGCAAATTACTGGAATTTGATCAATTTAATAAAACTTTTTGTTCAAGCTGAAAGAATGGGAATTTGGTGGCTTCATATTCACTGCATTAAACGGATGATTCCTATATTTTATGCTACTGGACATAATAACTACGCCAAGTGTGCACATCTTTATTTGCTACAAATGAAAAAATTGAAATCTATCAATGAAGAAGAATATTGTCGTTTCGTAAATCAGGGATTATTCACCATTCGCCGAAGAAGTAAATTTTGGTCAGGAACATGGAGCGACATGGTAATTGAACAGAGCCTCATGAGAGCAATGAAAACTCAAGGAGGCCTGACTCAAGGCCGTGGATTTTCTGATGCCTCTTTGGCCAGATGGATATCAAGTATGTCATCGTGTATCCCTATTGGTATATCTTTAGAAGAGTTTGTTCAAGTAAAGTCAATATCTTCAGATCAACATATTGAATTAACAAATGCCCGACAACGCCGAAATGAAAGTGATTTAAAAAAAATTCTAGAGTGGCTACAAGATCACAACCCCTTCAAATGTTCAGAGCTTTTGTCTATTTCAACAGGAATTATTGCTTCTCCTGATGTAAATTGTGATAAAGCTCAGGAAATCGGAGAAGTCATTTTCAATAGTCACATTGAGAAACATTTTACTGATATTCAGTGTAAAAGAAAGGACAATATCAAAAATTTGGCTTCTATGAATAGTAGCATCAAGCTACATAATACATATATAGACTTCAACCCGATGCAACTTTTCAACAGAATAATTTGTTCAAATAAAACACCAGAAGAAATAAAACATTGCTTCAAATATGAGTTGTCGCCATATCCTTTATCACTTTTTAAAGATGGTAATCTAAGAAAAGGAACAAAATCTCAACTTCTTCAGGAGCTTGATAAGATCTATAAGCCAGAAAGTATGCCCCATTCAGACACTGTTTATGTTATAGAAGGAGGATTTCTGCTACACAAAGTCTCATGGCAAAAACCAGCCTCATATAATGACATCTTCCTTCAATATGTAAATTATGTTATTCACAACTATAACAAGGATTGTGTCATAGTCTTCGACGGCTACACGAAAGAGGTTATATCAACCAAAGAAAGTTTACAACGATGCAGATCAAAGGGAAGCATAGAAATTTCCATCCATGCCCAAGCTTCGGTAATTATACCACAAGTGGATTTTTTGAAGAACAGTCAAAATAAGACACAGTCAAAATAAGACACAGTTTATAAATATCCTTCGAACCTACTTTGAAGACGTAGGTATAACTGTGCATCAAGCACCCAGGGATGCTGATTATCTTATTACAATGACAGCAGTAGAACTATCCATGATAAAAAAACACGTCACAGTTGTCTCAGAGGACACCGATATAATGGTTTTGCTTATACATCATGCAAAAAATAAAAATATATCCATGCTTCGCCCAGGGAAAGCAGCAAAAGGTAACAAAGTATCAACGATATCTGGCATACAAGATAAACTTGGACATCTGAAAAAACACATATTGTTTTTGCATGCCATATCAGGATGTGATACCACATCTTTCCTGTTCAATAAATCCAAAAAAACTTGTCTTTCGCTACTTAAGGAAGATAATGATCTCTCCCAAAAATTTGACGTATTTTTGAATAGTAATGCAAGCAGAAATGATTTTCTTGAGTCGGGATTAAATTTTATTTTGAGGCTGTATCGCTGCCCAAAACATATCAAAGATATTAATTTGTTGAGGTATACTTTATACAATAGGACAGCATCAAGGCAAGGACTCAAGTCCACATTTAATTTGGCTACTTTGCCCCCAACCGCAGACTCTGCAGAACAACATGTTCTCAGGACATACTTTCAGGTATCACCCGTGAACTATAAAAATAACAAGTTTTAGAAAATATGTTCTATTTTTCAGATTCAAGAATGGATTGGCAACAACTTGGACCCTCTGCAATACGGGTGGAAGAAAAATAAGCAAGGTAACCTGTACAATGTAAGGAAGCTGTAGTTCCCCCTGATCTATTGAAACTGATTTTTTGCAATTGCAAAGAAAGTAACTGCTCCAAAAACTTTTCATGCAGAAAACTTGGACTTAAGTGTTCTTCCAAGTGTGGGCAATGTTACGGAATCAGTTGTTCGAACTGTTGTTTCGTGGTAGATGAGGAGGAGGATGACGGTCTGGATGACGTCACACAGGAACTTTTTGAAGTTTAATTTGAGATTATTGAATACATAATATGTACACTATTATTATAAGCTTCATTATTTTTGTATTATACGATTGTTCATTTATGAAAAATTGATATTTAATTCGAATGGGATAAAAGTAAAGAAATGTTTGAAATATTCACCATAAAAAGCTCTGTATCTCCCTTATCCTTCATGTTATAAAAAAAAACGTACAGACACTTTTTATAGAGAATTAAATTCTCCACAAAAGAGGTTTCTTGAGTTTTTTTGAAAAAACTAATAGAAACTGAGACATTTGAAAAAAACAAAAAAATCCAAGATGGCGGCCATTTTTTTCAACCTTCCACCCCTAGGACTGAATGGGACTTTTGGGAGGTTAAATAGGAGGTCATTTACTAAACATTCCCGCTGGAATCAGCTTGTTGCTAATTTGTTGCACCCTGACCCCCCAGATTGACTCAGCTATAGGTCGCTAAACCTTGTACAGTTTTTGTCCACTAACAGTATTTCCAAAATTATTAACCTCCAATATAGGTATACAAACACAATTTCTGAACATATGCACAGTTGTTGGTCAACTTAAAAGATTTTAAAGTAACACTACACATAAACACAGAAGTAAAACCAGTGGCTCAAAAACAAAGGAGAATTCCTTTTCATTTACGAAGCAAAGTTGAGGAGGAATTAGAGCATCTTGAAAAACAAGACATTATTGAAAAGGCAGAAGGACCTACGCCATGGGTTTCACCTATTGTCGTAGTCCCCAAGAGCAATAATAAAATAATAATTTGTGTTGACAGGCGACAGCCCAACAAAGCAATAGTTCGAGAGAGACACATCACCCCAACAATTGATGATATCAGTGCATAACTTAATCAGTCTGTTTTGTTCAGCAAACTTGACTTGAAAGATGGTTATCACCAATTATTGTTAGATGAAAATTCAAGACACATAACAACTTTTTTCCACTCATACAGGGCTATACCGATACAAGAGACTTAGTTTTGGCATCAATGCAGCTGCTGAAAGTTTCCAAAATGTTATCAGACAAGCACTTGTTATTATACCTAATGTCATTAACCTGAGTGATGACATGCTTATTTATGGTAGATCACCTGAAGAACATATTAAATCCCTATTAGCTGTCCTGGAAAGATTAAATGGTTTCAACTTAACAATAAACACATCAAAATGTGTTTTTGGAGTCTCGAAGATACATTTTTTTGGTTATGTGTTTTCCAATGAAGGTATACTAAATTTGAAACCTCCAACTAACCAAAGTGAAGTAGAAGTTTCCTTGGAATGGTTAACCACATTGGAAAGTTTTTGCACAACTGTAACAGAATTAATAGTAAATTTCAAATCTCGGTTCAAGTACGTATTTCATGGGAGTTACCAGAGACGGTTTTTAGAAATAGTTAAAATGTTACCTTAATGGGTTTTACAAACATATGGCGATTCTGGGAACGATTACTAATCTGGTCGAGAATTAAGGGAAAGCACTTAAAAAGCAAAAAAATGTATCAAATTTTATAGTTTCAAGTCAAATATAAGCCAAAATTGAAAAATTTATTAGGCAAAATTATGTGTTCTCCTAGATAAACACCAAATCTGATTTTAATCTGTAGCTGCACCAGATCACGACACATGTTTGTAATAAAGTATTCAAGAACGATAATTCCCAACGTTTTATGGCGACCCCAGATGTCAGAGAACTGATACTGAACTTATATTCGAAGCATGTGTGTGGGCTAAAACAATGATTACGGGAACCAGATTTCCCAAGATACAATAACACAAAATTGTATAGTAATAGGAAAATCAAGGGTGAAATGAAAACTGTAGGAATTAAATGTTATTAACAAATAAGATAAGAAAGGAGATAGTTAACAACCCAATTATTTTAGGCATAATTAGTATTCAAGTATAGAATAATTTAATTCATTTCACACCGTTGATTAGGCTAAGTAATTAGGTTTATTACTCAGTTACATTAGTAATTAGGAAACTGTTTGCACAGAAGGCATATAAGAAAGAAAGATTTTCCAATTAAAGGAAAACACGGTAATTTTCAGTTGTTAAAATTATATTCTTCATATGACTAGCGAACTCTATTGGAAGGCTTTCAAACTATGTCACTAAGGGTGTAAATAGGGTGAACGATACGAGAACCAATAAGGAAAGAGCAATAAGGAATATTGAGAGGGCTAGGTACTAACAGCTAGCCAATGAGCTGCTAAGAGCAGTACCCTCAAGAAATGGGGGTTTGTTCTCTCTCGCTTATTTAAGCGAGAGTTGATGCAGTTATCGGCAGTTATCATCGGAAATTGTTAGAATAAAACAAAAAAAACTTAACGAGTTAGTGTTCGTCACAGTCGTCGCTCGATCCGTTCTTCTTCTAAGTGCATCTACCACTCAGTGATTAGTGGAAAAGCTCTCCAAAGAAGATGATGGTTTATTTCAGTACAATTTCTTTTAAAATCTATTTTTTTAGTCTAAACCTTTAATTGGAAATCAAACATTGTCCTCATTAATTTTTTTTTATTATTCATTATTTTCTTAAATAAATTAATTTTATTCTTTTAAAAAACGAAGTTTTCATTTTTGGTGTCATAAATTGCTCTAATCACTGGTAGTGGCCGAAAAAGATCTTTCGTGCCGGTTTGTTGCAATTGAGGAGGGGAGTTAGCAACTTTGGCAATAAAAGGGTGAGTCATCTTGAATCTATAACCCTTTGCACTAACCATAACCGAAGAAGAGAAGAAGTGAGGTTTTTGTTAGGATTGCCTCCGGTTCGGAAAATTTGGTATTTAGGATCGTTTTCAGATTAAAGACGATTTCGGCACGTTTTGGTTGGTAGGTAAATTGGTTAACCGCTGGGTAGGCTCTTCGTCACAACAGCGACGTCGCATACCATTTTCAGCCGAAATTGGCCGGTTTGTCAAATGTCACGTGTATGACGTGATGGTGATGTATGCCTGAGAAAGTAAAAATAAACAAACTACTGAATACTTGTTATTGTTGAAAATTAAAATTGGGAATACTGAAAATTAACTGTGTTTATTTGTTGTGTTTAATTTTTATTATAAACAAAAAAGTGAGGTTTAATTACTCCAAATTAGAGAGAGATAGCAAGCTACCAATTCAAATAACCGTGCTCCAAGCTCGGTACCCAATTTGACATACCAAAATAGATACCAAAGTTATCGTGACGTCATTGTTTTTCGTGCCGAAATTGGTTGGTACATTTTTGAACAACCAAAGTGGGTTACCAAAACGTGGCGAAATCGTCTTAAATTTAATTTTCAGCATAATTATGGTACCCACGTAAACTAAGATGTCACAGATTTATTCACGCTACCAAAATATTTATTCTTCTTAAGATCTCAATTTTGTCACACAACCTTTCTGAAAATACGAAGGCCCTAGGAAAATTAACATTAAAAGACAGTATTTGGAATTGGACAATAGAACATCAACATGAATTTAGGCATATTAAACAAGAATTATGCAAGATAACCAGGCTCTCATATTTTAACATCAACAAACCTACAAATTTGATTGCAGACGCTGGACCAGTTGGAGTTGGTGATCTTAGAACAAGAAAACACAGTCATAGCCTATGCAAGCAGAGCTTTGAACGAGGTTGAACAACGGTTCAGTCAGATTGAGGAGATTTTAGCCTGCACCTGGGCTATTCAGCATTTCCACATTTACCTTTATGGTGCTGCATTTACCCTATATATAGATCATTTACCCCTGGTCAGAATTCTGGAGAAATCAATATAATTTCCAAGTGCAAGAATTGAATGTTTACTCTTAAGAATTCAGCCGTATCAATTTGAGGTCAAACATCAAGATGGTAAGACAAATCCTTCTGACTATTTGTCGAGACACCTAGTTTTACTAACATGAACGATACTAAAATTGATGAGTATGTTAATTTTATTGCGAACAACTCTAAAAGCGATGACCTTTAAACAAGTACAAGAAGAAACATTAAAAGACAGAACATTAACTTTACTGACACAATGTTTATTGCTCAATGGAAACAATGAAAAACAATGGAAACATCCTGATTTAAAGTCTTACATTAAACTCAAAGAGGAACTAGCAGTACAAAACAACATTGTCTTGAGAGGATCCTGAATTGCCCTACCTAAATCACTACAAACATTTGCAATTGAACTGGCTCACAAGGGACATTCTGGAGTGGTTAGAACAAAACAGCTTCTGCGTACCAAAATTTGGTTTCAAGGTATAGACACAATGACGGAAACCTACATTAAATTCTGCAAAGCGTGTCAAGCTGTAACACCAACAAAGAACAGAGATCCTATTGTTTCCACGCCAGTGCCTGAGTATCCATTTCAACAAGTGGATGTGCATCTCCTTTTTGCAGAAACAAGTATGTTTTTATTTTAGTAGATGAGTACTCGCGCTATCCATTTGTGAAAGTTGTACAATCTACAAGTTTTAAACACTTAAAACCAGTTTTGGATAAGATTTTTGCCATGTTTGGCATTCCTACAGCTCTAAAATCAGACAATAGACCACCGTTTAAGGTTATGATTTTCAAAACTTTTCATTAAGTTATGGAATCAAACACATGAAAATCCTAAAGCTAATGGCATGGCTGAAAGATTTGTGAAGGCTGTGAAAAAGTCCTTGAAATGTGCAAAGTTGGAAAGCCACTGTTTTGAATCCCAAATCCAAGAATTTCTTCTTAGCTCCAGAGCTGCCCCACATGCAACGACACAGGAGTCACCATATGAAGTCATTTTTCACA